TAAAAATGAATTTTTTTTCTTTTTTACTAACTGTTTTCTTTATATTATTTATTGATTATTAAATATTAAGATATCTTAAAAACTGTTTTAAATTTTTTGATATGATCTGTAATCTAACCTATGATTTGATTCAATCTGATACTTCAGGTCAGACTAAGTCAATTACTTAACTTAAATAAACCTATTTAAAACTCTAAATATAATTAAAATTGTTTGTTTAAACTTATTTTGAAGTTAACAAAATATCTAAACTTTAGTTTTACTAATTTTTTACTAAAGTTTTGATATAATTTCACATTTTTATAAACTTTAATATAGTTTTTTTTTTTTTTGAGTTTTATAGATTTTAATAAGATTTTAATATAATTTTGTTAAATTTTACTTTTTATTATTTAAATAATTTACAAAACCTTTAAATTTTACTTAATAATCTTAGATATATTTGAAGAATATGAATAAAGAAATATATATTTAAAGAATATGAATAAAGAAATATATATTTAAAGAATAAAAATAAAGAAATACTTAAAAAAATAGAAATAAAGAAGTAGAAATAATAATAAATAATAAAGAAATATAATATTATTATGCAGAAATATATATATAGAGATAAAATTCATTAATATATAACCATTATAGTATTACAAATACTTTGTATCTTTTATATATTTTTTTAATAGTAACTAGTTTAATATAAATTTTTGATATATTAAAAAAATTAAAATTGGACTTTAAAAGCTATATAAATAATATATTTCTTGATAATTAAAAGCTATAAAAAATAATAAGTAATATATCAAAATATTAAATAGTAAAAAATTAAGTTTAAAAATCTAAAACCTAGAATTAATACTGGTAATATATAGTAAAAACTTATTTGAAGTTATAATTAGTTACTTTTAATAATTTCTTTAGATTTTATTCTAAAAACCTTTTTTATTTTATTAAGCTATTAAACTTATAAAAATTAATAATTTATAAAATATGGATTTTAATGATTACAAAATCTTTAGATTTTTTTAATTTTTTTTGCTATTACTTTTTTTAATTAAATAAAATCTTTTGGATTTTTAATATTAAAATTTTTTATAATTAATAAAATAATTTAATATTCATTTAATTAGATTTATTTTTTATATTTAAAGAATTTAATATTAAAAAATAAAAATGTTTATTATTAAAATCTTATTTTATACTTATAAAAATGATTGGTTTTTGGAAAAATAAAAATTAATTTGTAAAAATAAATCCTCTTAATGATAAGTAATAGAAACATATTAAGTAGGTATAATTCTAGTTAAAGTTATTGAACTTATAAAATATTATAAGTTTTTAATATATATATATTTAGCAGTTTTATATAATAAATTTTTGATAATTAATTAAATTAATAATATTTATTTAAAATTATTATAGTTAAATAATTTTGTCAAATTTTAATATTATTATTAAAATCAATTTAACTTAAAATATAATATATATTTAAAAATTAAATTAAAATTATATACTTTATATTTTTATTATTATTAGATATTTTTTATTATCTAAATTTTTTTTTTTAATATTTACATTTGTTTGAATTATTGAATAATAAGTTTTAATCTAAAATTATTAATATTATTATTAACAATAAAGTTAAAAGTTTATGATAATTGAGTATATAATATATACAGGTTTTCTTTCTTCAGTCTATTTTATAATATTTAAAATTGTTATATTATATTATTTTGGAAAAATAAAATAAAAAAATTCAAGTAATATCAAATTATTATTTCTAATTATTCATTAATATTTTTTCTTAAATAATCTTTATATCTTTTTTATACATTTAATATGATAAAAATTTTGATAATAAAAGAAACAATGATAAGTATTTTATTATAAATTTAATTAAGTAATTATTAAAATAGGTATAGTATTTCTTACACAAAAATTATTCAACTTATATATAATGATTTAACATATCTATATAAAAAATAAGCTTCTTTATAATTTTTTACAAATAAAAAAGCTAATTATTCATACTTTGTAATTTATTATTACTAGAATTTATTACTTATTTATTACTTAATAAGAATTAGTAATATGCTTTATAAAAAAAATTATACTTAAATTGATTTAAAAAAAACTGTATAGAATAAAAAAAATAAGTTAAATTATAAGAAGGATTATTAATAAATTTTTATAATTAAATCAAAAGCATATAAATAAAATCTTAAACTATGATAATATATATTTATTTTCTTATATATTATATAAATATAAATGTTTTTTAGAAAAAATTTGTTATATTATAATCTCTTCTAAATTATAATTATTATATATACAGTATAATATAATATTCACTTAACTTTATATTAATTAAATTTAATAAATAATTAATAATATAATTAGTTATAATTAATAACAAATAAATATTATTAATATGTAATTCTTACAAATTATTTTAATTAATAGTATTTAAATATTGATTCTTTTAAATTTTTGTAGTATATTTATATTTGATATTATAAAGTAATTTCAAATTTTATATAATTTATAATAAATTAAAATACTTTTAATAGAATTTATATAAAATTTTTAAGTATAAAAATATTAAAATAAATAAAGTAAAATAATAATAAAAAAAAAAAAAAAATAATAAATAGACAATTAAAAAAACTAATCATAAGTAAGATAAGCATTTAGCTAATTAGAGATGAAATATTAATAATTTAATAAATAAATAATATTTGATTTAAGTAGTAATAATCATTATCTATAATAATAATTAATAATTTTTCTTTATTAAATTATATTAAAATATAAGTATTTTATAATAAAAAGAAAAAATTTTCAAATTTTTTTTTTAATTTAATATTAAACCTGGATTTATTTATTAAAAATTATATTTAATATAAAAAGTAATTTTATTTTTTAGTAATTACTTTTTTATTATTATTATATTATTAAGTTAAATAATTTAATAATATAAAATAAATAATTAAAAAAAATAACTTTTCTTTTTTTAATAGAATTTATTAAATATAATTAAAGATAATGATATAATTAGTTATAATTGTAATAGATATAATTAGAAGATATTTTAAATAAGAAAACAGAATCTAGAATATTCTATTGTTAATCTTAAAATTTGAATAGCTTATATATATATTTTATATTTGTATTTTGAAAAAATTTTATTATAATATTTTTTAATATAAAAGTTTTTAAAACAGATAATGCAAGATATTTAATTTTCATAATATAAATAATCTTATATAGTTAAGTCTATTTTATTAAAGTAAATGAAAACTTAAGTTAAGTATTCATTTTATATATTATTAATGAAAAAATAAACTAATAATAATTTAAATAATTTTTTTATAGGACTACTTATTTAAAATCTATAGCAAGAAATCTTTAATATATTTTTATAAATTTAGCTGAAAAATATGATGAATTAGATTAAAAGAATCATAAAAAATAGAGATATACTGATAATATTTAGTAAGTAAATTTATTTGTAAACTTAAAAAAGTATTAAATTTTTGATAAATAATAAATATTAATTTTAATATTATAGTAATTATGGTAGTTTAATATATATTTTATTAACTTTATTAAAAGAAATTTTAATTTATTATAAAGTTTTTAACTAATTGAATTATTTTATTATTAATAAAAATTATAAAAAAAATATATTAAAAAAATCTCTTTTTCGCTTTTTCATTTTCACTATAAGCAAAATTAACAAAAAAAGTGTAAAAGGAAAATAATAAAATAAGAACTGACAAATGAAAAAGTTTATTAAAAAGAACTTTTCATACGAACAATCTAATGATTCTTCTCAACTACTATAATAACAATAGCATTACTATTAGTTTTTAAGAGTTTTCTGATACTGCTTCTCCTCCTACTTCTCTTTTAACCTATTAAAATGAGGATATGGACTTTGAAGAATCTGTATTTAGTTTAGTTAAACAGATAAATCTATAAAATAAAATAAAACATATACATAATGATCCTTTTTTAAAAAAAAAAACAATTTTCTGCTTTTTTACTTATATCACAGTTATTTCTCTCTACTCTTTAAGATGAATAAAGATCTGATCTCTCTTTTAAATCATAAAAGATAAATAAAGGTAAAAGTAAAAAAAATGATAACACAACAATAAGTCTTGCTTCTGTTTATTCTCAACTTCTAATTTCTTCTTCCTTTCTAATCACCTTTAAAAAAACTAAATAAGAAATAATACTCAACAATATAATGTTATACTAGACAATAATAATAAAACACTAATTGCTTTAGAGTTTATCTAAAAAGGAACTTTACAACAATAAAATTCTTATTAAATAATACTAAATTAGAAAAGTTTCAACAATATAACCTGTATCACCTATACTTAAATTAGTCATTTCATTATCAATAATACAAAAGGCCTATCACTTTATAAATATTACACCTTAAACATATAAAAATATAATTAGATATTTTGCAGCAAAATATAGAGAAATTCAATGAATTGTAATCAAATAAAAGCCTTCTTATTACAGCGCACTTGTTTATTTGTCTGTAAATAAGAACAACTTTCTAAATTAAACTCCTTATAAGGTAAACGATTCTTTCACAATTTTATTCAGATAATACGTTATATTATCTCCAATGATAAGTTAATTAAATGACATTCATTTATTGTAAAAGTTAGTAATCTTTCTCTTAATATAAATGAGTTAGATGTTTATCAAATGCTTATAACCTTTAAAGTAAAATATTGGCAAATTCTTATCAGTAAATTTAAAAACTCAAGAGATAATCATATGATTATGCATTTTGAATCACAATATGACCAACCTTGATTACTATATGAAAAAAAATCATACTTAATAATTAACCTTTATATATTATATCACCTGATAAAAAACTTGCTCAATATACTTAAGTTCTTACTATTTTAGAAGATCTTATACTCAAATCAAGAAGTTTTCTAAATCTTGGCAATTATAAAATCAAAATCAATATGTTAGCTGAATCTGATAATTCTTTTTCAGATTTTGAAGATGATGTAAAATCTGAACTTCCACCTTTTACTAATACGTCTTCTCTAAACCCTCCTTCTATTGAGAATAAAACTCTCATTTTTAGTATTTTACATAAGATGTAGCATCTTATAGAAGAGATATTCAATTATTTCAAAAATACATTGATATAGGATTATTTAATATTGCTGAAATAATAGACAGTTTTTTTTCTGATGTTCTTCCAAAATTTTATAAAGAATTTGATGTTCAATTAGATTTGTTTAATTTATTAAACAACTCCCTCATAATTTTTGAGTTTTCTTCAGTTTCTACAGCTGGTTGATCATAATGTATCCTTTTCAGTACATTTGCAGCTTTCTTGCAACTATTACTCTCGTAAAAATGATAAGATTTTTGATCTTTTTATATTTCTGAATTTATATAAAAATTTCTGATTATTTTAAATAACTTTTTTTATACTAATTAACTAATCAATAAATTTTTTAATATAGAATTACCTTTAGCATAAAAATTTTTTTATAATATAGCATCAAATTTTCTTTTTTCTTTTGTTTTCTTTATTGTTTGTTTTTTTGAAATATAAATATTTTTAATTTAGATTAAAATTGATTTTATAAGGTGAATAATAGAATCTTTTATTAATAGTCATAGATTAGTTTTTATGTGATTTTATAAATTTTTATTTGTATTTAATTTTACTTAATATTCAATAAATTTATGAACCTACCACACCTTTAAAAAAAAAAAAATTAATAAAAGTTATAAAATTTCTTAATAAATCATAAAATTAAAATAATTCTTTATAATAAATTTTATAATATTCTATTATAATTAATATTTTTAAAAGTAAATTTTAATAAGATTGTTAAAAGTAGAGTTTCAGACTGAGTTGAGTTAACTCATGAGTTAGATAAGCTAAGTCAAATTTAAATCAAATTGGATTTATAATTTTTTGATTCAATAATTTGTGAGTCAAATTGAGTTTGAGTCAAGTTAAATATTTAACTTGACTCAATATGATTTAAATTAAAAACAAGTCTTACTTTTTAAAGATAAATAAACTGATTTATTTTAAATCAATCAATTTATTTTTTTTCTTTCTATTTTATCTTATTTTTTTTCCTTCTCCCCTTCTCCCCTAGTCCTTTTTCTTATTTTATTTTATTTACATTATATTTTTTTTATTATTTGTATTTTTATTATTTTTTTCCCTTTCCCTTTCTTTCCTCTCCCCTGGTTTTTTTTTCATTTTCATTTTTTGTTATTTTTCTAATTTTTTTATTGTTATTTTTTTATTTTATTTCATTTATTTTTTTTTTGTTTTTCTTCCTTTTTCTCCCTTCTATTGATTTCTTTTTTTCTGATTTTTTTTTTGTTTTATATTATTTTAATTATATTTATTTATTTTTTTCTTTCCCGCTTCCCTTATCTTTTTTTTTATTTTCTTCTTTCATTATTTGTTTTTTGATTTTTTTTTCAGTTTTGTATTATTTATTTTTAATTTTTGTTTTTTATATATTTTTTTAGAATAGTTCTCTTTTTCTCTCTCTCTTTCTAAATCTTATTTGGATCTATAAAACTTACTAGTAAGTGAATTAATTCCTTTTTCTTATTCTTCTTAGATTAGGTAAGCTTCGTTAAGAATATTTACTAACATTCTTTTTTCTTCTCTTTTTTAGAAACAGCTTTCTTTAGATCTTAGAAACTTACTGATAAGTGAATTCTTTCTTTTTGTTCTTCTTAGATTGGGTAGGCTTATTTAAGAATGTTTACTAACATTTTTTTTTTCTTCTCTTTTTAGAACTGGCTTTTTTGAATCTTGGGAACTTACCAATAAATGAATTAATTTTTCCTTCTTGTTCTTTTTGGATTGGGTGGGTTTCTTTGAAAATGTTTACTAACATTTTTACTAATATCACAAAAGTTCAAAATTCTAAAACTTAGTAAAAAGCTATTTTTAAAAAAAAATAAATTTTTTTATTTTTAATAATTTTTTTAAAATAATTAATTTTATTTTATTTTTTTTTATGATTTTGATTTAAATAAAATATATTTATAAAACTTAAATATAATAATTTAAAATAAATTTTTTTTTTATTTAAATATTTATAAATTAATTAAATTTTGACTCAAAATTTGATTTAAATTTGACTCAATTCAAATAAATTTAAATCAAAATCGAGTTGAGTTAAACTCAAGTTGAATCAAATTGTGTCAAGTTTAAAATTTATATAACTCAAATCAAATCAAGTTGTAAAATTTTAAAAAATAAATTCAATTCGACTTGATTTGAAAAAAATAAGTTAAATAGAGTTGATTTTTAAATTTGATTCAATATGAACTTTAATCTATCTATAGATCTTTATTATCTATCTATCTACACTTTTTTTTTAAAAATTTTTTTAAAAAAAATTATGCTGATAATAATTATATATGTTATGTTTAATTCTAAAATAGTATTTAAGTAGAAAAAGTTTTCTATTAATGAAGAAATAAATATAAAAGAATTTTTTAAAGATATAGTAGTTTATAAATTAAAGTCAGATTTATGAGAAAAAATTGTGTAGCATATTTTAGTCATACAAAAATAGGTGAAATAGAAAAATTAGGATTGGAATGCAATACTTGAAAAATTATTAAATAATATGAAAAATATGTAACATTTAAATTACTTAGTGACTCTAATAATATATCAGTTACATATAAAATTAATGTATTTAAATTAATGAGATCAGCATCAATGCTCAATTATCTTCTGAAATTTAAATTACTAGTAAAAAATTCTTGAGAGCAGCTACGTATAGTTTAAATAAATTGATTAGAAATAATAAAGGTAATTGGATAGGAAAAGATAATGCAAATAATATTAGAAAAAGATTTGTTTCTGATTTAACAAAATTTATTTGGTATGTGAATATTTGTTCTTATAAAATATTAAATGATAGATTTAAAATTCTAGCTTTATTTACTAATTTTTTTGATTGAACAAAGATACAAAAAATCAAGAAGATCTTTTAATTCAAAAGAATTATAAAATCATTATAAGATCTTAATAAATTATATTAAATTACCATAGATGGGAAGCTTAAATTTAAAAGAATCTTTATTACTTTATACAAATAATCTTTTAAAGTATGCTAAATATTTAATTAGCAAAAAGTAATAACTGCACAAAACTAAAATTCATTAACTCCTATAATTGATAAAGGGAAAGCAGAATATATAGAAATTTTAAATGAAAATATATGGTAAAGATCTGAAATTGTTAAAGAATATTACATTCTTACAAAAACTTTAGAGGTATTAGAATATTGAAAATCTGTTAATATTAACCAATTCTGTCTAGAATTATGAAAGTATAATTTATACTTTATTATATTATTAAACTTCTAATAAACTAATAATTCATAAATATATTTATTTTTAATTAGGCAAAGATCTAAGTTTATTGAAAAACTAAGCATAACTTTTTTGTTTAAAATTAGAAAATATATATCATAATAGAAATATACGAAACTCAGTTTATATTTGACATATTAATATTAATGTTGATGAATAGGAAATAATTAATAGACATTATACAATTAGAAATAATTTAAAATAAACACTTCAAGTTTATCATACAAGAGAAATAAGAAAAGAATTTTTAGACATAGTTAAACTTTATATTGGTAAAGTGAAAAAAGCAAGAATGTATTATATTTATTCTGCTTGATTAAAAGATTCAACAGCTTTAATTGTCCTTTAAATATATCAATTCCTTCTATATAATGGATCAGATTACAATTCTAATTAAAAAATCTAATACACAAAAGTAGGTAATAATTTACTAATAAACTTCTTATTAAATTTATAGTATAAGCAAGATAATTATATTGTAATCATAAAGATTTATATTATATTAGTACTTTATTTTATTATAAAAAAAAATGATAATACTTTATAAATGAATTCATGGTTAATTTTTATGGATAACAAATATAGATGTAAAATGAATAAACTAAGATATCTAGTTGTAGCTATTGAAAGAGAATGATAAGTTATAGTATTAAAAAATAATTGTAGATTATAACTTTATAAAATGTGGTATGATTCCAAGTATAAAAATATAATGTGATATTTTCACTACAATTGAAGAGTTATTTTATCATAGACAAGTATATATTAGTTTAAAGATCTTATATTCCAATTATCAGATTCATTATGTTATATGATAGAGTTATATAAAATATTAAATAATACAAATGAAAATAAAATTTTATTTATTTCTTTATACTGATAGAGAGTATGATCATCAAGTTACTTATATTCGTATTTAATTAGCATTAATAGCATTATTTTTAAAATTAGATTTAGATTTATTAATTGCTATTAGAATTCTGTCAGGTCATTCTTGAAAAAATCTAGTAGAATATATAATGTCAATATTAAACTTTGGCATGCAAAATATTAGTTTAATATGTAGTGAAATGAGTAATAATTTAGAAATCTAATAAAAAATGCAATTCTATGAAAAAAATTTGTATATATTCAAATAATGAGTCATAATTGAAAATGAATTAATAGAAAATTTATAAGCATTAATTAATTTGATGGAAGATATTTTGAGCAATTATTATTAAAAGATCAACCATTTTTAACCTATAAATCTATAACAAAAGGAGAGATTAAAAGTTTATGAGATCTTTATTAAAAATTGAAGATTTATTTAATATAAACGATAGAATAAAGAAAGATATTAAGGATAAAGTAAGTATATTTTACTTAATATTTATTTTATTATCTAAAATAATTATTAAACTATAATTAATTTTTATTTAAGTTAAATTACAAGAATTTTATAATCACTGCTGCAAGTTACAACATTATTTTTTTTTAAATAAAAAAATGTAGAGTAATAGATTATAATATTTGCAAGCCAATAATAAGTAATGAACTTGATTTTTCTCAAGTTCATTTTTTATCTGATTCAGTTTCAATAGTTGATAAAACTAACTACAAACAATTTTTGAATGTTTTTGATATAATTATAATAAAGTAACATAAACTATCTTTAATAAATCAACAATAAAAAAAGAATTTATATAGGATTTAGTCCTACTGCTTAATTTGTAAGAAATGTTGATATAGTAATTGAATATTGTAAATGTAACAAATAACATGTATTAAATAGCAAAAGTAAGTTATCTTCTTTTGAGTTATTTATTTTGAAAAGGTATCTAAATACTATTTAATATATATATGGTAATTTTTTTAAAGCTTTAGCAAATTTAAAAACAGAAATGGAAAATGTAGAGTAAAATATTAATAATAAGAATAGTGAACATGATAATGTAAAAGAAATTTTAATAAAGTAAATATTAATGATGTGTTGTTATATAGTAATCTAATAGAAGTTTTTTATTATTCAAGTAATTTATTTAAAGAAATTTGCTTCAGTGTGAAAAAGTATCAGAAGATGAATGAAATAAATCTGATAGAATTAAGGTAAATGAAGAATATTACTATTATTATAGTGAGTATTATATGACAACTTTAAACAAAAAATATGCTAAAAATATTAAGTTTCAAATAATAAAAAAATCACAAAAATAGTATGTTAAATTTTTTTATAATAAAGTATATGCTATTACAATTTTTCATTATATAAAGTCATATAATAAAAAACTTTACTATAAAAAAAATCATAAGTTTTTGTAAAAATTGAGGCAGTCAGGTCACAAAAATCTAAAAAATTTTTTGCCTAACCTTATATAATCTATGTAAAAAGTAACTCTGATTTATTAGTTGAAGGATATCTTATTTAAATTAAAAATAAGATTTGCTTATTAAATAAAATATGAACAAGTTATGTTTTATTTTTTTTTATAAAGTTTTTAAATAATAATATAATTTTATTACAATAAATATTTGTTTATTTTAAACAATAATCAATTATTAAAATACTATAAGAACTTATTAAAGAAAGTTGCTAGATAAATATTCTTTTTTATTTAATTTATTAAATATTATTTTATTTACTATTTAATAAAAGTTACAAATAAAATTTAAATAATGCAGCTTTAAACAGAAGTATTTAAATAGTAAATTAGGTATTTATAAATAATATTAAAAGCTCAATGCAATTAAAAGAAAGTAAATAAAATTATTATTAAAAAATTATTATATATTATTGTAAAAAATTTCTTAAAATAAATTTTATTTCAATTAAATTATTGAATATTATATATAAATCTATAATAAATTATAGTTAAAATAATTTATTTAAATAATTAAGTATAATAATTATCAAATCTACAAATTAAGAACTTAATAAAATTTATTTATAAAATACTAAAGATTTTAAATTTTATTTTCAGAATTTTGTATTTGTGAATCAATTTATGAAAAATATAGATTGAATAAAATTTAATAAATTTCATATATTTAGTAAATAAATTTAATAAAATTTTATTACAAAATATTTATTAGCAAAAATAATTCTCTTTTATTTAGATTAATATTAGTTTTTTTAAAAAAGCAAAGATTTAAAAAAGTAAAGAAAATATAATTAAATCTGAAATATTGTTAAAAATAGAGAATTTTCTTAAACAGTTTAGTGAAAATACTTAAAAAAATATTTTTGGATTAAAGTCAAAAAAGTGAAATAAATTGTTATACATACAGTATTTTAAGAAATAAGTTTACATTCTTTTTAAACAATTATTTTAACAATTAAAATTGTTTAGAATAAAATTTTTTATAAGAAAATTTTTATTGAGAAACTCTTTTTCTAATACTAATTTTTTTAAATAAAATTGAATAGAAATCAAAGAAATAAAGAATACATTTTTAGTATTTTTAATGCAATATAACTATTGATAAATGAAATTCAAAAATAATTAAAATAAAATTTTATAATATTCTTAAAATTTTTAATTTTAAACCAATCATTTTTTTTGATTAGAATAATCTAGAATATTCTGATTAGCAAATTTTATTGTATTAGAAAATTATTGGTATAATATATTTAATATATTCTTTGACTGAAATAAGTATAACAGTATTATAACTAGTTGTAATATTAACAAAATTTAAGTTGTAACTAATTGTAATTAGTAATAAATAAGCATTATAAATTGCAATTAGTTGTAAAAGTAATATAATATTATAATAATAATAATACAATTACAAAATTTAAATATTTTAATAAAAAATTATATTCAATTTAAAATATTTTTTACTAAAATAATATCAAAATAATTAATAATAAAAATTTTTGTTAAAAATTTTATTATAAAATTTTATTTTTTAATTTTTAAAATTGACTTTAATTAACAAGTAAAATTGCAAAATTTTTCTGCAATACTATTGAAAAAATAAAAAATAATATTAAAAAATATCTATTTTAAAGGAATTTAATATAAAAATATTTATTAAGGATTAAAATTATATTTATATGAGAAAATCCTTTTAATGATAAATTTTATTTTATTAAATTTATTTTTTAAAAATAATTTATATTAAATTTTATTTAAAATAAAAAGGTTATAGAAAATTTATTTTTTAATATTTTAATGATAAAAGGCTTAGCTAATATAAAGATTTAAATTTTTAAAGCATAGTTTATATATAAGAACCTTTTTTATTTTTGAGTATATTAAAAGAACATAAAAAGTTAGGATTTTTTCTTTTTTCGGAGTTATAAATCTCTGGCCAAATACATACGTAAAGATGCAGGTGTTTATGCAATAAATATTAATTACCAGCTGTGATATTGTTTTTTTTTTTTTGAAAATAAAGTTTTATTTGTTAGAGTATTTTTACATTTTATTTTTAACGTTTTTATTACACAAATGGATTGATTGCTTATAATTGTGATAATGAATTTGTGATAGTCTTGCCTGAATCGGTAATATCCGTTCATTGAATACCGCTGCGGCACAAAATATAAAAAAAATTTTTTTTTCTTTTTAAGATGCAATTTTTTAAAATTCTAATAATAAATTAAAATACTTTCTCGTGCGATTCAGTTTTGTTTTATATTTAGGATTCCTTTTGATTTTTTCGCCTAGATGCATGATTTACGTTACTTTAAAGAATACCTTATTAAACGATTTTTGAAAGAAAAAAAGTAAAAACAATGAAAATCAAGTTAACCAAATTTGCAAATTAACATTAAACATAAAGACGAAGAGAGAGAGTTGTTAGGCAAGTCAATACCAAAAATAAAAGATATAAAGGTATAAACAATGTTGGAGGCTTAGTAATTTATAATTTCCATAATTAGGATTAACAATTTGTGATTCACAAGTTAAAGATAATAAGATAATGGGATACGTGAAATTCTACCGAGTTTTCTATAAAAAGAACCATGATTTTATATTATTGGTTTATCCGAAGTTTTTTTGCATTGTTAAATTTATTTAAATGAACTTTTTATCCTTTTTTTTATATTTTTTTTTTCTTTTTGAATCCGTCGTATAATATGTCAAAGAAATCTGTTAAAAAGGTCTTGAGTTTTCTGATATCTAGGTAAAATTTTAAATCATATATAAATATATATATTTTGTATAAGTATTAGAATTCACGTTCATATTCATGATACTTTAAATTCTTTCTACAAGAATACCCTTTTTTAAAGAACGGACAAAATCACGAAAAATTCAACCTGAAGATCATCGCGTTCCAGATAATTTGGCTTCGTATATGATCTCAGAGATATTGCAAGAAATTTTTACTCATCTAGCGGATACATTTGTATTTAACGGAACGTATGATTTACACGCTTATTCAAACCTATATTCGTGTGTACTAGTAAACAGACATTGGTGTCGGAATGCGATGATAATATTATGGAGACAACCATTTCATCCATGTTTAAATACTGGGTACATCATAGTAAATACCTTATTAACGTTTCTCGATGAAGAAGAACGAAACTTTCTCTTATCACAAGGGATAACTCATTTACCACCTTCTTTAACATCCAAAACATATTTGTTTGACTATCCAATATATTTTAGACATTTACATCAACAAAAATTATACTTTTCAGTTGAATCCTGGAGTCAGAAAAATTTACAGAACAAACCAAATAATGCCACCAATTTGTTAATGAATTCTTTATTGAAACTCATTTATAAGAAATCCGGACAACTTGTTAGACTTAAATTATATAATCTGGTGGGATTAATAAAGGATAATATGGATTATAAGAATCATCAAGATTCAACCGTCGATAGTTCTTACATTTATAAATTTATTTCACAGGTTAAACAGTTAACGATCAATGGAACTTATGAGAATAGTAATATGTTTTTGTTGCCTTTATTCTCCCATTTATGCACAAACGTTGTAAGTACATTATTAATTTATTCTTGAAATTAAAAAAAATTTTTTTTTTTAATACTTTGCCTTTGACTTTACAGCAACATCTTTGCATAGAACATTTTTCGATTGCGAAAAATATAGATTGCGTAATAAAATCACAAACCAACCTGGTTTCGTTAGAAATTTCAAATCTGTCGGGTCATTCAACTTCAATTATTCAATCAATTCTATCGCAATCAAAATCACTACGCAATATCAAATTTTATAAAGTAAACTTTTCAGAATGTTGTCAATGGACTTCAATTGCGTTTTGTAAAAAATTAGAAATGCTGGAAATTTATGATTGTTTAAATTTAAATTCATTCATGATCTTGCCTTTAATTACAACAAAATTTCCTTTACTCAAGAGAATTTGTATTTTGGGTAATAATGATCTTGAATGTTGGATAAAGAATTATATGAGTAGGAATTAAAAATAAAAAAACTTGTAAATTTGTAAATTTAATCAATGGGTAATACTGTAAAGCGCGACTAAAAAAATTAAAAAAATTTTTTTTTTTTTATCGGTCATTGACAACTTTCAGGGAATTTCACTTTGTTCTCCAATGTAGATGGGTCAAGTTTGCAAATGCAGAAATACTCTTTAATGTAAGAGTTTCCATTATTTAATGCACCACCTGTTCTTTTCTTTTTTTAATAATATCCGTATGTCATTAACAAAATGAACTGGAGAAATGATCGATGATTCATGCAATAAATTACTGATATATTTTTAATTTCCGTGTGATGATGAGAAAGTATTAATAATTCAAATCTTTTTTAAAAAATTTTTTTTTTAGGAGCAAATCACAAATTTTTTAGGAGGAATTTAAAATCGGAATCGGAACTTATATTTTTCATGAGTTGTACCTGCAAGGTTTTTAGTTCAATCACAAAACCTAAATAAAGCACCACAAGTGCCTTTTTTTCATTCGCTCATTTACATCATTTCGTTTCGATTACAGCTGTTTGCATAAGTCACGGCAAATTTGTTGCCGAGTACTTGCCGGCAACCCAGCAATTCGTGTTGCCAATAAATACAATAATCACGTGATATAATATAAATAATTACACGGCCGTATATGATTATTATACTTTGTCCGTGGAGTAATTTTTCACGGACAGAGTTTATTTATACTTCGACCATGATATTACAATATAAGTTATTACTTATATTAAAATTCATTAAAAAAGGTTTAATATGTTAATTATTTATTAATTATTATATATTTACTATTAATATTAAATATAAAAGAACAATTATTAAATATATTTCTTTAAAATACGTTGGAAGTGAGAGATCAGTTGTCATTAATTGACTCTCAATTAAATTTTTTTGTGCAGAAAGGTTTTGCAATTCTAAATATATGAATGTTAGTTTCTTTATAAAAAATATGTAACGATAAAATAAATAAATTAAGAACCTTGATTATATGCATTGAAGATCAATTTCATTTTCAATTTTTCCATTTAAATTTACACGATATCATTCTAATTGTATAACCCAATTCTTATTTGATTTATCAATTGAAATACAATTAATAATTGCTTATATATCACTATCTCTAGGATCATTATATTTAAAATTGGCTAAATAATAAAATAATTTTTTATTATAAAAAAAAGGTTTTAAAAGGTTTTATTTGGATTTTGGCATAATAAAAAAAAATGCAGTTATATTGAGATTAAATGATATAAAACGAGAAAGAAAAAAGAATAATTTTTAAAATATTATTTTATAATAATCAGTGGGACCGAATAATTATATCGTAACTTCATGGGTAATCGCCGATAACTCCACAGTTACTATAGCAATGCATTGATTGGTGGAGGTGGATTTTGCCACGAAGTGGCAAAATATCCAATCAATGCATTACTATCAATAACACATTCGAATAAACAGGTATTTTTTATGTTTATTATTATTTTTCTAGCCGGGTTGCCGGCAAGTATTCGGCAACAAATTTGCCAAGTGTCCCGTGACTTATGAAAACAGCCGTAAAGATGAGCAATTGGATGGTTGATTGAATTTGATCGTTGCACCACAATTTAAACGCATAAAAAGCAATAAGCAATAAGGTTTATTAATTTATTAACTAATCGAAAATTTTCCTAATTCGATATTATAGAAGCCACTAATTCCATGTATGAATAACCTTTTTTGATAAGTTCAACTAATTCATGCGTAATGCATGTTCTTATTAAAATGAAATTAAGTAATTAAGAAAGTATTACCGACTTATTTTGATATTAAAACATCATCTAGTTTAATTAATAATTTTATTTTATTATTTTATTTTATTATTTTTTTTTAGCTAATATAACTTATTAAGATTTAAGATTTGTAATTTAAAGGCAAAATTGAGAAAGTTTCGACGGGTAGCAAAACCATCGAAACCTTCTGAGATTAAAATACAATTTATTATTTTTGTTTTTATGAGACGAGCAAATAGTATATAGCAAAAGGTCAATATATTAAATTCAAAATATTTACATATTGTAATTGATTGATGGAGGGGGAAGACGATGATAGGTCGATTCAAACGGGTTTGCAATATAACTACGGGGGATAGCTAGTACTTAGCATAGATTTATTCTTGATTTACTTTGTATCTCTTTATATATAAATTTAATAAAGTTACTGGCAGTGCCACATCGTTAAAAAAAAAAAAAAAAAAAAATTATTGTAATTGAATTAAATTTATTCTTCATCAAGTCCAATTACATCATTATCTCCCAATTAGTATTTTCTTCATTTAATCTCATGACAGTATCCCTACCTTTTTCTTCTTCCATTAAACTTTCATTTGAAAATCATCATCTTCTTCATAAGGTAATTCTTCTAATTCTTCAACAAGTTCCTGTGCTTCCAAATTTAACATCTGCTCGATAAATAATGTATTATTTTGGAAACTTTGTTCTAATTTAAAATATCGAAACCGTCGAAACTTTCGAGACCATCGAAACTATCGAAACCCATCGAAACTGTCGAAATAATTTCTGAAAAGTTTCGACTTTTGCCAAAAAGGGTTTATGGTTTTGCCCCGCAATTATATTTAGGTTTTAAATAAACAAATTTGTAAATAAATAAATTAAATGAAAAGAAACATAAATAAAATTCAAATCTTAAAATTAACATGGTTTTGTAAATAATTATGCAAAGTTTTATTAAATTAATTATTATTTTTAGAAATGATCGAAATCATTTGACATTTAATTTTACCGAATTAAGAATTTTAGGTACAAGTTTACTTTTTTTGTTACCGTTTTCTTAAAAGAACTTAATATTCAATATATTAAATTTCAATATAATGAAATAATTTATGATTTATATTCTAGTGCACATATTTAGATAGATAACAAGATATATATTACTACGTAATTTTAAATCAATAACGACTATATATTACTTCAAAGGTTAAGTTTTCTTTTTGCATATAATTAATTTAATTAATAAAGCAGGTTTTGTACAAGTATTCTGGAGATATTAACTTCCTTCTTTCGAAAATTTCATAAAGGAACTTGTGATGCTTAACTGATTGCCTTGTGTCATACTATATAACAACATTTATAAAATCAACCATTGATCCTGATTAACAAATCCCCCAATTTTATTAATAGAAAGAAATGTGAGATTTATTGATTAGAATCCATTAGTGTGCGAACAGAACATGGTAAATTGAATATTTAAAAAGAAAACGAAATAGGACAAAATGGCGTTTAGTTTTTTTTTCACATGACAAATAATAACAATTGTACGTGAGAAATGAAATCCTTTTATTTATTAAACGAGTTTTATAGTCCAGTGTAATCAATTATTATCAAGGCAAAAATACCTCATCGGTTTAATCTAACAATTATGGAAAATGATCAACATGCGAATAAAATAATTTACCTTAAATAGTAAAAATCAAATGGCAAAAATCCCTCAGTCTTATTCTTGGAAATAAAGATCATCAAATTTAGAATTAACATTTAAAGACTTTTGTGTCGTCAGAATCAAATTTTTATAGTTGCTGTTCAATTAAATTTGTCATTTTTAATGAAGAAGGTTCAAGTAAATAGAGAAAATTAGAAATTAACGAAATAGATTTCTTTTGAAAATAAAAAATATATAGATATATATAAAATGTTAAATGAAAATATCTGCAAAGCAAATTTGTCTCTGTCTGGATTAACTTGTGCTAGTTGCGTTCGATCGGTTGAAAGTACATTAAACAGACTTCCTGGTTTGGTTCCTTCTTCGATTAAAGTCAATCTATTAATGAGTAATGCGGTCCTTGAATTCGAAGAAAATCAATTAGGTATTGACCAAATTAAGCAAGCTATACTTGACGCTGGTTTTGATGTTGAAGATGTTAAACTTGAAAAGAAATACGAAAAACCTTCCTTAATACAACAACCTATCACCATAATTTCAAATGATCCTTCAACTCATGATGACAAAAATGCAATTCGTGAAACAATCACAAAGTTAATTGTGGGTGGTATGACGTGTGCTTCTTGTGTAAGCGCTATTCAACATTCTCTTGATTCATTAAAGGGAGTAATAGAAGCTCATGTTAATTTGCTGACCGGTGAAGCAACAATCAAACATGATTTAAGTCAAATTGGAATACGCGATCTTATTCAATACGTTGAAGATACAGGATATGAAGCTGAACTCAAGAAGAATCAAACTAATAAAAAAAATTCAATTCGACATCGTGCAGAAAAGGAGCAAAAGCTTCTTCGTACTCGATTCCTTTTGTCTTTGATCTTTTCCATTCCAACATTTTTAATTGAAATGGTATTCAAAATGATTTTACCAAGTGATAACCCTTTAATCAAAGTTATCTCGCACCAAATAATTCCTGGACTTGAGGTTGGAACCTTAATTTTATTCATTCTCGCAACTCCCGTTCAATTTATTCTTGGTTATCCATTTTATTTAAAAGGATTTCGTTCCATTTGGTACTCTCGCCAAGCAAATATGGATACTTTGGTAGCGATTGGAACAACTGTTGCATACTTTAGTTCTATTTTGAATGTTATAATTCCAATTGTTCATAGAGATGATAAACCGGGCCATCAATTTTTTGAAACCTCAATATTTCTTATGACTTTTATTTTGCTCGGTAGATGGTTAGAAGCCAAAGTGAAAGGTAAAACTTTTGAAACAATAACAAAACTTATGGAATTACAACCGGACAAGGCGTCTCTTATCACAATTATATATGACGATGACAATAATGAAAATATTGTCGAAAAGGAAATTGATTTAGATCTTGTCCAAGGTAACACTATTTTTATAGGAAATTTAATTCATTTTTTTTTTTTAAAAAAAAAAAATCTTAAAGCTTACAAAATTTTTTTTCAATAGTTGATGATATTCTTAAAATTACTCCTGGAGCAAAGATCCCATGTGACGGCAAAATATTCCGAGGTACCACATCCCTGGACGAATCAATGTTAACGGGCGAATCTATACCTGTGACGAAATACGTTGATGACGAGGTGATAAGTGCTACAGTTAATTTATCATCAATGATTTGGATAAAAGCAACACGCGTGGGTTCGGATACTACGCTTTC